GACCCTTTCACAGGGGTCGCCTAAGACCATCGGAAAACACATATATAATTACATATTGTTTTTGTGATTAATCACTATGCTTTAATTATGTTCAATTTGTAACAATGAAAATACATCCTGCATATCAGATATTTACATTACGATTCATAACAGTAGCAAAATTACAGTTATGAAGTAGCAACGAAAATAATTTTATGGTTGGGGGTCACCACAACATGAGGAACTGTATTAAAGGGTCGCGGCATTAGGAAGGTTGAGAATCACTGGTATAGAGTTTATGAGCGCCCCCTGTGTGCCGAACCTGCAAAGTTGCAACGATGAGTTACTCTACCTTGACTCAACACAATGTAGTTTGATTACAAAAATCCTGGGAAAGTTCCTTGATGCCCTGAGTGGCTGGTGTCATTCCCGAAGGACTGAGTGACTGTGAATAAACCTCGGCATGTAGCCTAAGCCTTACAGACATTCTTGGGTGGCCCCATCCTCTTCACGGACCTCTGTTCGCGAGAGAAGGGATTATGATTCTGTAAATGCCTGTCCCTGCTGGCACCGGCTGCTCCCTGTCTCCCAGCATAAACAGATGGAAATGCCAGCCCAGCAATGGCTCAGCCCAGAGAGAAGTTGTCATGAGGTTGTGGATGAGCAGGGAATAGAGAAACAAGGGTTCTTTAAATATCTAAGCTGCTGGTGTCATCAGAAATGCCTAGAGTCTGTTCCTATGGGTCACACATTGTGATTGAATTAATTTAAACTTAAATTCACTTAACATTTTCTACCCACCATGTTTAAAGGGATTGTAGGCATCACTTTCATCAAATAATTGTTCTTTTACTTTTGTTAATTACCTTTCCTTTCCCATGTGAATGAACATATACTACTACCCAGCAGGCCTGCAGATAAAATCACCATTTTGTTTATTCATCTCCAATAAATTTGACAAGTAACATTCTAACTCTTCTCTCTGACAGGGTAGACAGTTTACAGAAGAATCAAGACCTGGAATTTGAAAGGAATCGAGAACGATTTGAGTTTTTAAAGGTATGGGCAGGGTTTGGTCCATTGGTTGATCCTTTCCGTCTGTGGGTACGAGGGAGAGGTGCCCAGGAGCTGGGCTGCACAGGAGCCCCTCGGGCATTCAGAGTGTTCTTCCCGTTTTTCCATCCTAGTGGGGCTCTCAGGCTTTTCGCAACATGCGGATCATTCCCCCTGGCTCGGGAATCATCCACCAGGTGAATCTGGAGTATTTGGCCAGAGTGGTATTCGATCAGGATGGATATTACTACCCAGACAGCCTTGTGGGCACGGACTCGCACACGACCATGATCGATGGTTTGGGCGTTCTCGGGTGGGGTGAGTGTTCTTCCGTATGTTCCGTACTATAGCTTGTGCGTTCATTTATGTTGGTACCATTACATCCCAGTAGCATGAATTTGTATGACCACAAGAATCGGAGAGGTGTTTTTGTCTGCTTTGTTTGCTGCTGTATTTCCAGTGCCCAGGAAAATGCCTCAGGCCTCTGTTTGGAAGAGTGAACCAGAATAGGGGTCAGGATCGTTTAGAATAAGTGAAAATCTCCTGGCGTGTGTGTTACAAGTGGAGGTTCCTGAACCCCTGCCGTCCAGTTGGTGTGGAATCAAGGGGATTTTGATACAGATGTTTGGGGACCACACTTGAAGAAACACTCATTAAAAAGTCTGTGGAGGGAGATAGAGAGAAGATAATTGCTCCTTTTAGAAGCATAACTCTGTACTAGTAACTAGTAGCGTTGTAACTGGGTTTATTGCCTGGTAATGACCCTGAATTCTGCCTGGGGATACGGTGAGAAGTAATGAAAGCATTCTTGTGTCATGCCACTCCTTGCAGGTGTGGGTGGCATCGAAGCGGAAGCTGTCATGCTGGGTCAGCCAATCAGCATGGTGCTTCCCCAGGTGATTGGCTACAGGCTGATGGGAAATCCTCACCCTCTGGTCACATCCACTGACATCGTGCTGACCATCACCAAGGTAACAGACGCTGCCTCTTCTGTGGTCCTGGAGAGAAACAGTGACAAACAGGGGAAATACATGATGGGTCCCTCTTGGCCTCCGTGTGTTCTGGAAATGCTAGGAAACCGTATGTTGATGATTTTAAAATGCAATGGATGGGATAAGGGATAGTTCTGTGGTTAAGTCTTAGGTAATTATGTTCATTTTCCTGTTCTATTGCCTCATGGATCTCTTTCTTTTTTTAAAAAAAATATATATTTTTTTATTGATTTCAAAGAGGAAGAGGGAGGGAGAGATAGAAACATCAATGATGAGAGATAATCATTGATCAGCTGCCTACTGCATGCCCCTCACTGGGGATCGATCCTGAAACCCAGGCATGTGTCCTGACAGGGAATCAAACTGTGACCTCCTGGTTCATAGGTGGGTGCTCAACCACTGAGCCACACCGGCCGGCTGGATCTTTTTCTTTTGAAATTGTGAAATGGTTCAAATACAGAGAAGTGAACATGATATTCATATGCCTACTACATAGACTTCACAGATGGTAACATTTTGCTTCAGAGCTCTCTCTGTATGTTTTAAGAAATGAAGTGTAATACTTACAGTTTAAGCTATCTTCTCTGTTCCCAGAAATAACCACTACCCTGAGGTTGTAAGAATCATTCATTTGCATTTGATTACACTTCTACTACATCTCCCCCTTGGTTCTTCCTTAAATGTAAATAACAGACTTTTTCTGTGACTAATGTTGGGCTTTTTAAATTTCCTTCTCTGTACTGTAAGTTACATTATTGTAAAGATGTTTTTCTAAACTGGAAAATACTGGTTTTTTTCCCTTTTTTTCTTTTAGTCCTTTTAGGAAATAATCTTTTTTATGTGATTTACTTGCTTTGCAAAAAGAAAGCAGTTTTATTTTGAAAGGTTATTGGAAAAGTAATTGACTTATTATCACAAACATAATTTTTTCTGGTTGTAAGTTTGGAGGCTTGGGGTATTTGGGATGGACGCTATACTGGGGAAGGCCCGGAAAAGTCTCCCTTTGATGGAATCTCTATGGAATTTGGAATTGGATTTATTTGAACACACTAGCTTATCATAGATGTCTGTGCATTGTTCTTCAAATGTGGGATAATGTTAGGCTTGCACACAAAATGTGGCAAAATTTCACGTTACCAAAGAACCTATCCCTGTGTTTGTCCACAGTTCCTGGAACTGGCTTCCTGTAGGGCCGGTGGCTCGCTCAGAAAAGATAGGGGAGTCAGACTGGATCTTTTGGTTACATTTGACTTGTACCTGTGTTTAGGAAATTTGTTCATTTTACACTTGAAAATAGCCATTTACTTACTCAAGTCATCATTTATTTGAGTAAAAAAAAAATTTATTTTTAGCACTTCCAGGCATTTCCAGTGATCTCATCACAGAAAAAGTGTTTCACATTTTTAAAACCTTTTCTTAATATTTTTCTTTGTGTTTATGGCATTACTTTTTTGAACGGTTTTGACATAATTCTAGATTTACAGGAGAGTTTATGTAAAGATGATACAGAAAGCTCCTGTTACCTTTCTCCTGGCTTCCGCAAATGCTACCTGGCATAACTGTAGTGCGTTTATCAAAATAAAGATGCTGACATTGTTACGAATGGCACTGTTAGCCAAGCAGAAACTTCGCCTGTGCTTTTGGTATTGTCCCTTTTCTGTTTCAGCTTCCAGTCAGGATACCGTGTTATATTCAGTTGGCATTAGTTTTCAAGGTTTATTTTTTAAAGTAATCAAAAACATGTTGAGCTAACTTCCTGTTTCTGTTTATCCGTGTTCGTCTGTAGGGATTGTAAGGTGATGATGGGTGATAGTTCTGCATGTTAGATGTGGTCTGTCCACTCTGACTCCTTTCCATTCTGCCGCTCAGCACCTCCGCCAGGTTGGGGTAGTGGGAAAATTTGTCGAGTTCTTCGGGCCAGGAGTAGCCCAGTTGTCCATCGCTGACCGAGCTACGATTGCCAACATGTGTCCAGAGTATGGCGCAACCGCTGCCTTTTTCCCGGTGGATGAAGTCAGCATCAAGTACCTGGTGCAGACAGGTGAGTGTGACACCGCGAGAAGCTGGGGCCTCCGTAACATTCCATGGAGCGCAGAATGGGGCACAGGCGCAGCCTCTGCCTCCAGCCCTTGAAGGCACTAGGTCTGACTTACAGATGTCTTCCTTCTCTCTGTGGAGTCAAAATAACCGCTGGGGTATGAGCAGATGTGAAGTAGATAGGGGACAGCCATCAGGAAAAGCTCAGATTCCCTGGAAGCCTAGGGTTGAGGCCGTGGGAGGTGAGGTTAGGGGGTGGGCAGGCAGGAACCAGATCCACACAGGCTCGGAGGCCACAGTGATCAGTTAGGATTTTATTCCACACGTTCTAGGAAGCCACTGAGTCAGATTGAGCAAGAAGGTAACATGAAATAATTTTATTTTTAATACCTCCTTCTGTGTGACAAAGATAGAGGAGACCTTTTGGTTCCCATATGACTCTGAAAATTGTAACTAAGTCATTAAGGAGAAAGGAGCAGACATCAGCGTTCTCACCCATGTCCCGTGTTTACTACAGTGACAGTGGTTCTTTCGCAGCAGGAGTAGTGGGCCAAGTAAGAGCTGGCTGCCCATCTCCAATGAGTTTCATAAGGTCCCTTCAGACTCTGACTTCCAGCTTCTCCCTGACTTTCCCAAGGAGAAGCCTCCTGGAGGAGTTACCATTGTCATGAAAAGCTCATTAAAATAAAAAAAAAAAAAAAAGGTTTTTTTTATGAACTAGAGGCCTGGTGCACAAATTCGTGCACAG